TTCTCAGACCACCGTTACCATAACAATAAGTTTCTCAGGCCACTATTTCTAATTCCTCTTAACTTGTTTTTGACACACCACGATACACAAGACCGAAGTGTCCTTGACATTCTTCATGTATCAGCAGCTGCGAGCAGCTGCAGGCAAACCCTAGTGAGGCCCAGCATCAGCGAGGCAGCATCAGCCCTTAGAACAGGCTCTGATCGTACAACTGCTCGGTGGGCTCATGACCCTTGTCTCTGTGCCATTCTCCAATAGTTCCCTCTTTTTCTTTTTGTACGAGCAGAGCCTGCCCCAACGTTTGTTCAAAGATTTTCTTAATACATGATAAAGCACAACTTAAACATGCAAGCCCAATAATGACAAAGATCAGAATAAGAAGCAAACTTTGGAAAGGCCTTTTAACCATCCACCTAATCCCATCCAGTTAGTGAGTCCGTCTAGTCCAAAGAACCCCACATCTTGTTTTATCTTTTGGGTATGTTCTACAAGCTGTTTAAGTTCCGTATGAATTGACCTCGATTTGTCTTCCAAATCCATACAACACATACCCTCAAAATCCTCACAGCCATGACCATGCGCCAAGAGTAGGAAATCAATGGCCATTCGATTTGTAATATGGCATGCTGGAGTTCGTTCATACCCTCGGCTAGGCCTGAAAGTACAGTGCTGGTAAGATTTGCCTGTTTTACCACCCAACAAGATAATTTCTCTAACTGTCGGTGCGCTTGGGCAGCAGAAGCACCTGGGACAAAGAAAGAAGAGAATATTACTTCCCATTTGTTCCATAAGCTGACATTGTCATCACAGGCATTAGTGAGGGTCTTTAGTGCGCATCTATATCGCCGAACTGGATGGTTTTTATTAGGGTGATGATGGGGTAAGGCCAAACTGAGACGCCCAAAGGTGCAGGGCCCTCCAGTGGGTCGGAAGGGGATCCCCTGCCATGCCCGATCACCACAAATGAGAAATAGGCCAGGAGGTAACCTCCTGGGCGTGGTAGTACCAGGGGCTGGATGCAGCCTATTTCGGCTCATTGGCTTACACCAATTTCCCCAACAGGCGCTACTGCCTTGTGAGGATACCTCAGTTCCTACTGTGACCTTGCAAGGGTACCGGTTCCCTTCACTGCAGGGGTATTTAGACGCATCTAGGAAAACACAGTAAGAGGCATTCAGTGAGTCTACTAGTTCAAGTTCCTGGGGCGTGGGCCAATGGGCAGGCGGTTAGCCCAAGAATCATATTTGTCAAACCAGCTACTCATGTTTGATGCAAAAGCCCTATACCAGTTCCTGGATTGGTTCCAGCGTTGGGCATATTCCGCAAGTGTTTGGTTTAGAGAACCCCAGTTGGCACCGTTCAGGGGGATGCCTACCAAGCATGTTAGAAAGGGCACACTTGGGGTGGCGAGACTAGTGCAAAAGGTGGTAGTGTTTGCGGCTCAGCCTAATGTTACCCATACATTTTCTCTTGGATCGAACACGGTTCTCTTTATCCCAACCCCAATCGAATTCGCGCCCCCCAAAACCAGTAACAGAAACCACCACATTGCTTCAGTTATCCCAAGGAAATTTAACAGTCTGGAACTTCGGAGTGTCCAACGTCCAAAGCGGCCTTAGTCCACCTGGCAGGAATCCACTGGGAGCCTGAGGGAGTAAGAATGCACATATAGCTCTTACCAAGGAACTGGACCTCAGCAGGTCCCTCCCACTTCCCTGTGGATAGGTCTCTATAATAGACTTTCATGCCCTGTGGTTTGTTGTTCCCGGAGGTGTCAGAATGTTTCTTAACCGGCGCTACATCTGAATCTCCAAAAATGCAAAGGTAATTCATCACAAACAGTGCCTTAGCTACTCTCTCTTGGATATTTTTGACGTCGTGGAATTTTTGCAAATATATTTTAATTGTCTGATGTGATCTTTCAGTTATAGCCTGCCCAGTTGGAGAATGGGGAATAACTGTGTCCTGAGTGAGTGGTGGAGTCTTTTGGTGGCAGGGGAGGGGGCTATCGAGGCAGCCCCCTGTGAGAAGCTTCTCGTAGCTCCCCCAGCTCCACGTCAGCTCCACTTCTGTTTGGGAAATTGAGCCAATTGGCTGCGCCTCTGCGATAACGTATTTAAGAAGGGACGTGGTGATGTGCATTCGGACTTGTGAGGAGGAGTTGCTGCAGCTGCATGAACACCAAGGTCAGTGGAGGAACGGAGGAAGAAAGGAGGGGGGAGGTGTGCCGGAGCAGAGACCCCCCTGTATCCTGTGGTGAGATGGCAGGGCGGCCCCCCCCTGCCACCCATGAAGATCTACAGTGGAGCAGACATTGATTTATGGCCTGTTGCTCCTGCTCGGAATAATCAAGGTTCTGTGCCCGAAGAAGGCCGGGGTCTCATGGGAAAAGGTAGCCCCGCTGCTGTAATTCAGTGCTGGGAGGATTGCAGCATGCGGGGGAGTCCCACGCCAGAGCAGCTCGGGAAGGGCTGCAGCCGTGGGAGGGAATCCAGTCGGAGGAAGTTAGTGACCCATGACGGAGCAGTGTGCGGAACACTGCGGCCCGTGGGAGGAATTCAAGTCGGAGAAAGTTTGTGGAGGACTGTCTCCTGTGAGAGGGGGACCACGATGGAGCAGGGGGAACAAGTTTCAGACACTCCCCTCACCGAAGATGAAGGAAGTGGCAGCGCTGACTGCACCCCCCATTCCCTGCCCCTGCACCACTAGGGGAGGAGGTAGAGATATCGGGAGCAGAGCTGAGCCCGGGAAGAAGGGAGGGGTGGGGGGAAGGTGTTCTCAAGATGTGGCAATGCTTCTCACTGTCTTACTCTGTTATGTGTTGTTAGTGTCTGTAATAAATGTATGGGGTTTTTTTCTTCCCCTAACGAGTCTGCCTTTTGCTCGTGATCATAAAAGGGTGATTTTTCCCCATCCCAGTCCTATCTTGAACCCCAAGCCTGGCTCTCTGTCCCTTCTCATTGCCGGAGGGGAAGGGAGAGAGAGCTGCTGCATTGTGGTTGGCTGACAATCAGGCCTAAACCACGACAACCTGTCATGTGTACAACCCCCCAGCTCTGACAGAACTTTCTCATTTTTTCAGTAATATAAGCCCGACCATTGTCCGTTTTTATCTTCTGTGGAACCCCCATGACAGCGAAGCAGCTCGTCAAATGGCGTACTACGTGCAATACCTTTTCGCCTGTCTGGGGCGTGGCCCATACAAATGGGCTGTATGTGTCAATTGTGACGTGCAGATATCTTAACCGACCAAACTCTGGGACATGCGTCACATCCATCTGCCAGAGGTCACAGGGCCCAATCCTCGGGGGTTAACTCCGACTCCCAGGCCAGGACCATGATGGCTGCACTCTGGGCAGGCTCTTACAATCCCTTTGCTTCTTCAGTGGTTATATTAAACTGTTTTTTCAGGCCTTTTGCATTCTGATGGAAAGTAGCATGAGCCTCGTGGGCCTTGACAAAGTCGCTGAGTGGCACTGTTAGGGTGACGAGTCGGTCTGCTCTTTGATTCCCTTCCCCTAGTCCTTGGGACCACATATGACTTCTTATATGAATGACTGCATACAGATTCTGGCGCTGTTGCAAAGCAGATTGAAGTCGGCAAAATAGTTCATTTAATCTGGGATTTTTTGAGTCCCTGAGTGGTGCATCTTCTATACGGTGTAGGACTCCTGCAACATATAAAGAATCAGTTACTACATTGAGACGTTGATCATGCCATCAAAGGATGACCCAAACCACTGCTGACAGTTCAAGCGTTTGCAATGAGTCCCCTGGAATAGCTGACAAAACATGGTGGTGCCATACTTTATCCTTCAACCAGGTGACGGCGGCACGCTTAGATTTTTTTCCAGCATCAGTGAAAGCAGTAATGGTGTTTGATAGAGGCGTCTCACTGCATTTGGAAGGCATGATCCAGTCGTGTTGGCTTACCCATTGCAGTACTGGCGATTTGATTGGAGTCACTGCTATATCCTGAGCTGCAGTTAGCAGGCTGGCTTACAACTCTTCCGATTGTCTGATGCACCATTCAAGCAACTCCCTCTTGATGGGTAGATGTATGCTGCCTGGTTCAGATCCCGTAATCGGTAGGATGCGAGTTCGGTCCTTTCTAATTAATTCTGCTAGGTTCTCCAGTTTTTGTTGAATGGATTTTTGAGGCTGTAGCCTTGTGTATACCCATTCCAGTACCTTGACCTTCTCCCCCTTTTTCTTTTGGTGTTGAGTTAATGCGCCGATGAGCTGGGATGGGCTGTTTAAGATGGTGGGGTCTACCAGTAGCCGGGGATCTCGGCGGTCAACTCATCACTGGGTAACGTAGTCTGCATTTCGGGACAGGGTTGATCGTTGTTCCTCTGATAAGTGCACCGGGTAAGCAGGATCAACCCCCTGGAGTAAGGGTTGGAGGACATCCAATTCATCATTGGCAATTCCTACCACAGGGCGAAGCCATTGTAGGACTCCAAGCAATTTCTGTGCGTCATGTAAGGTACAGACATCAAGCTGTATCTGTAATTTCTGTGGTTGTGTTTGTGAGTCTGTTATCAGCCACCCAAGGTATTTCCACAGTGCCGAAGATTGAACCTTTTCAGGAGCAATAACAAGGCCTTCCTTTTGAAGAGCGTGAGTCAAAAAGGAACATTGCTGGTCAGAGAAAGGGCATTCTTGAGCAATCAGAATGTCATCCATATAATGATATATAATGCAGTAGGCCAGGCAATTCTGACGGGTAGTAAGGCATTGCTTACAAACAGTTGACAGAGTGTTGGACTGTTCTTCATTCCTTGTGGCAATACTGTCCACTCGAATCGCTGAGCCGGTGCTTCACGATTAATCTATGGGAGGGTGAAGGCAAAACGCTGTGTATCCTCTGGATGCAGTTGGATGGTAAAGAAGCAGTCTTTCAGATCAACAATGAGTAGATGCCAGTGTTCAGGCAGCATAGATGGATTGGGCAGCCCGGGCTGGAGGGCTCCCATGGGCTGCATCTGCACATTTACCGCACGCAGATCATGGAGGAGGCGAAATTTCCCTGACTTTTTCCGGACAACGAATATGGGTGTATTCCACGGGCTAATGGACAATCGTAAATATCCCTGAGACAGCTGTTCCTCAATTAGTTGATGCGCTGCTGAAAGGCTTTCTTTTTTCAACGGCCACTGCTCGATCCAAACCGGGGTGTCTGATAACCACTTCAACAGGATTGGGAAAGCTCTAGAAGCAGTGACTGTCGCTAAAAAGGATCACTGGTTGTCAGGATGACACTAATCTGGTCCAGCACATCACGGCCAATTAGGCCATAAACTCCTTGAGGCAGAGGCATAACTGTTACATACGTATTCGCGACTCTCCCATCTATGATCACTCGAATATGCTCTCTGCTGCGCATCACTGATGAGTGTCCCCCCAACTCCTTTGACTCCGCGAGCCATAGGTTCCAAAGGCTAGTTGGGTGGCCAATGGTTATTGTCCACAATGGTGAGGTCGGCTCCAGTATCCAATAATACAGTAAGGCAAATCTGTGTCCCATTCGAGCAGAAGGTAACGTCAATCACCGGATGGCGATTCATTGCCATAGTTAACAGAGCCAAATCTCCTGTGGATCCAAAGCCAGCGGCTCACCTGGTAGCCGCGGAGATGGCTTCCATCTCTTTGGTCAGTTGGGGCAGAGGCACTAATTGAGCAATTTTACTGTTCACTGGAATATGAATTGGGGGAAACAAAGTCTGCACCATTATGCATATAGTCCCGGTAAAATCAGCATCAATAATTCCTGGCAGAATAAACAGTCCTTTAATGCTTCTTGATGATCGCCCAACTAGTAAAGGACCTTGTGGCTGTCCATTAATTAATATTGGGCCCTTAACCTTAGTTGCAATCCTTTGCGGCCGTTGATCGATCAGTGTAACACCTATTGCTGTCGCCAGGTCCAAGCCAAGGCTCCCTCTTGTGGCTGGCTGGAGAGCACTCGCAGGAACGGATTGTTGTTGGCGGGGGCTGGGACTTGTTGTTGAGGCAGTTTTGGGCTGTTGCCTAGCTGTGCAGGGGCCACCACTGTTGTCGTTGCACGGTGGCCCATCGCGCTCGTTCGGGCGTTTCCCGATCACCCACATGCAGCGGCACTGTGGTTGTGCGAGTGGCAGTTCTCGCACCAGACTCGTCGAACACGGCATTCTCGCCGTAAGTGTCCTTCTTGCCCGCATCGAAAACACTTGGGACGGCGCCGCGTCGGTGGTCGCTGTTGCTTCTCAGATGGACGTAATGGGGCTAGGGCTGCAAAGGCTTGGTGCTGGGCCTGGATCAGGTCCCTCCCTAACTCCCTAACTGCCTCTACCAACATAGCCTGGGGGCCTACAGGCACCCTGCTCATACACTCCAGCATCTGCTCTATCGTAGCATCCCCAGGCAGTGTTGGTATAATAGACTTTGTTTCTGGATTAGTATTTTCTAAAATGCATCGCCTGAGAAGCGCAGGTTTCATCCACTCTTGAACCTCTGCCTGTTCTATAGCTGCAGTTACCCGATCAATGAATTGCGCAAAGGTTTCATCCCGTCCCTGTTTTATTGCCATATAAGACGGAGATGAGGGGGCTGTTTTAACTGCGGCTATGGCTAGCCTTTCTGTCCGCATGGCCTCCAGGCAGACATCTGGGCCTTGCCGCATTTGAGCGTCTATGGTAATATATTGCCCAGCTCCCATAAGCTGTTCCACGGTTACCCCAAATAGTGGGTCATGCTGCTGTCTGGGCTGTTGAGCTGCTATTTCACAGAATCGTTGTCAGTGGGCCTGCCATAGCAACAACTGAGATTGGGTCATAATCATTTTCATAACAACCTTAATATCTTCCTGACACAAAAGGGTGCCCCCCATATGTAATTTAATAACTGCTTCGTGGGTTCACCATGTAACCCAGACTCATTAACAGTACTACGCAACTGCGACAGCATCTTCCAATTCAATGGACTATGGCTGCCATAAACGGCTCCATCTTCAGCCGACTCGAATCGAACTGGAAATCCCAGATTCTCAGACAGGGTACCAACAACGTCATATTGCTTATCCTCTGCCGCCTGGCGCATGATCTCCTGCCAGTCAACATGGCATACCTGCCCCTGTACTTTCGTTATACCTGACTGCATTGAGCGGCCATCATCCCTCTTGGGGCGGTCATCTTCCCTCTCCCCCCCTGCCTCCGAGGTCGGAGGGAATGGGGGGGGGCATGACTGTGGGGGCACTGGGGGGGAACTGGCTTCCAGACTTCCCCTACTCATGTTAACTGGAACCGGTACTCCTGTTGATGGTACAGGAATACGATCACTGTCAAAAAGCATAGATCCGGATGTGCCACTTTCTGGGGTAACGGTGGAACTTTCCCCCCCCCAACTTTGTTGTTGCCATGGCTGCAAGGTTCTTTTCAAGCTCATACCGCTTAACATTATTCACCACCTCCCACCACAGTTTCATCAATTTCCTTGCAGCTTTATCCTCATCAATTACCATATCCCATAAAACATCGCCTAATCTTCTCCACTCCTCGACATCAAAAAGAGAATTAGGATCTTGAAAGCATCCTTTGACCCATCCTAATGCTACTAAACCCACGAGTGATTTTACACAATCTACTCCCCGCTTTTCTAAAAAGCACTGTAATAAATCTAGGGCTACCTCCTGTTCCATATTGCTGGCCCTGTGCCCCCTGATTCAGGCACAGTACCTGTTCCTGCCGACCCTGTTCCCCCTAATTCAGGCATCGTGTGCCCCCTAATTCAGGCACAGTACCTGTTCCTGCCGACCCTGTGCCCCCTAATTCAGGCACAGTACCTGTTCTTTTCGATGCCCCCTCATTAAGGCACGAGTTGCAGCTTTTGCCAGTAGCCCTCGCAGATGGCGAACACCTATGTTGGTTCAGGTCCTCGGAACGACACATCGGAGATCCAATGTTCGATCGTTCTTGACCCCCCAGACGCTGCTGTATCCGGTGCTTATCTGTGTCCACTGCTCTGTCCTTTTATCCTTCTATTCTGGTCCCTGTTCTGGCACCATCTTGCGAGCAGCGGAGGAACAATGCCGAGACAAACTCAATATGAGTGATAAAGCATAATTCCACTTTATTGGTCCAGGATACATATATTTATACAGACAACGATAATTATTATGCCTACTAGTCACTAGCTGATTGGCTTAAGCTCTAAAAGTCGTATTCGCATGGTCCACTTACTTGAGGTTAGCTAACAGCACAAGCTTCTCATAACACTAAGTTTCTCAGGTCACTATTTCTAATTCCTCTTGACTTGTTTTCGATACACAGCGATACACAAGGCCGAAGTGTCCTTGAAATTCTTCATGTATCAGCAGCTGCGAGCAGCTGCAGGCAAACCCTAGTGAGGCCCAGGATCAGCCCCTAGAACAGGCTCTGATCATACAAATGCTCGGTGGACTCATGACCCTTGTCTCTGTGCCATTCTCCAACAGTTGCTAGCACCTCACTAGTATATATCTGGTCAGGAACACTTCGGTGTTCACATCTGTACTTTCTGGTCTTGATACGGGACATTGTATTTTTCGTATTCTTTAATTTGTTTCTGTGCTTCTGAATCTTGTAACTTTGTAACTCTGGTAACACGGGAAACAATGAAACACTGTTGAAATACTGTTGAGGTTTTATGCATAAATGAGTGAATGAGACGTGTAGTTATGCACGAAGCGAGTGTGGAGCTTTGATCCGCGGTTCTGTTATCCCGCGAGGGGTGCAGCTGGAGATAAGCGAAGAGAAAGAATGGAACAAAAAAAAAAAGGCAAAAAAAGAAATGTATACGGTCGGTTTACTATGGCATTTAAATTTTCAAACCTGTTTAAAGAAGGGAGATCGAGTAAGAGTTCTATACCAAGAAACACTCCCTTCGGTTGGCTTTTAGCTCATTGGAAAGAGATGTATGATGAATTAAGCAAAAGTCAACTTACTGAATTTTGTAATCATGAATGTTCATTTAATAAATTAGAAGACGGAGAAATGTGGCCCCTGAATGGGACCGTAAGTTATAATACTATATTGCAATTAATGTTATTTTGTAAAAGGGAAGAAAAATGGGATGAGGTTCCATATGTAGATGTTCTTTTATCTGCGAGAAAAAACGGAGTGGCAAAAAGAATGTGGACTGATTAATCAAGTGATGTCTCTTATGGTAAAGGATAAAAAGGTTCAGGAACGTTGCCCGTCATGTACTTCCACGAAAATGTGCTTTAAACATTTGGCACTGAAGGGAAGGGGACATACAGAAACAGGTCCTGAATTAGATATTGCTCCTACTGCCCCAATAATTCTTGCAGTTCCCATATACCCCCCCCCCCCCATTCCACTGCCTTTCTCTGAATGTGGACCTGACTCCAGACCTAGGCATCCGACTGGGAAATCAGCCCCGGGTGCTGATTTAAGAGAAGGGCACACACTACAATTTTGCAATTGTTTTTACAGATCTCAAGAGGTCCTTTAAGGGGAGGAATACAAGGGGGAAGAGGAGGATTGACTGACAGAACCCTTCTCGGAATAAATCAGTGTGCCTTTTGTAAGAAGGAGGGGCACTGGAAAAAGGATTGTCCAAGGAAATTAAATGGTCAGCAAACAGCAGCTAATGTGATGATTCTAGGAGAGTATGCAGATTTACGGGGACCGGAGGTGAACCCAGCTGAGCCTCTGGTTACAGTTAAGCTGGGAGAGAAGGAGGTTACATTTTTGGTGGACACTGGAGCAACGTTCTCAGTTCTGAACAAACAGAAGGGGATGATAGGATCTAAAACGGTAAATATTGTGGGAGCCACAGGAAAGGAGGAAAACCAGCCATTCTTACAACCGTTGAATTTAAAATTTGGAACTAAAATCATAACACATGAATTTCTTTACGTTCCAGAATGTCCGGTACCCTTAATGGGAAGAGATTTGCTATCCAAATTAAATGCCCAGATAGTTTTTGAAAATGGAGAATTATTGTTAAAAATACCAGAATCAAAAACAGGGGAAATTTTGATGATACAGGAAAAAACAAAGATACAAGAAATCCCCCCAGAAGTGAGTTATGCAGTAGTCCCCATGGTATGGGAAACTGATGTCCCTGGAAAATCAAAATTGGCACAACCAGTGAAAATTGAATTATAGGAAGGAGCAAATCCAGTTAGGATCAAACAATACCCAATTAAACCTGAGGCAAAACAGGGAATTAAAAAGCTGATTGACAAATACTTGAAATATAAGATTTTAGAAGAATGTGAGTCAGAATATAATACCCCTATTTTACCAGTCCGAAAGCCCACAAGTGAGTACAGATTAGTACAGGATTTGAGAGCTATAAATCAAATTGTAAAAGACATTCACCCAGTAGTGGCAAATCCATATACCTTACTGACAGCTCTTAAAGAAAAATATCAGTGGTTTACAGTGCTTGATTTGAAAGATGCTTTCTTTTGCATACCCCTGGAACAGGAAAGTTGTAAGCTGTTTGCTTTTGAGTGGGAAAACCCACAAACAGGGTGCAAAGTACAGTTAACCTGGACATGACTACCCCAAGGATTTAAGAACAGCCTAACAATCTTCAGGCAGCCATCTAGCCAAAGAACTAGAGGTATGGACAAATGAAAAGACAGTGACTCCGTGACCAGAACATCTACACTTACAATATGTGGATGGCATCTTAATAGGTACAGAAGAAAAGACAGCCTGTATATAGGTAAACATTGAACTTTTAAATTTTTGGGGAGACTTAATGGGTATAAGGTGTCTAAGAAGAAAGCCCAAATAGCAAGCCAAACAGTGATATATTTAGGCTTTGAGATTTCAAAGGGGCAAAGAAGATTGGGGACTGATCGAAAGGAAGCAATCTGTGCTATTCCAGAACCTTGGACAGTACATGAATTAAGAGCTTTCTTGGGAATTGCCGGGTGGTGTCATCTTTGGATTATGGATTATGGTCTCTTGGCCAAGACATTATATGAGGCCCAAAAATCCACTCCTTTATGTGGGGCAAACAACAACAGGAGGCCTTTTGAAAGCTTAAGCGAGCTTTAATGACAGCAGCAGCTCTAGGATTACCTGATTTAACTAAAGATTTCCAGTTGTTTCTCCATGAATGACAGCACCTTGCCCTGGGAGTCCTGACCCGGAGGATGGGAAGCTGGAAGAGACCTGTGGGGTACTTTTCTAAACAACTGGACACGGTGAGCAAAGGATGGCCTTCCTGCTGGCGGGCAGTAGCAGCAACAGGAATACTGATACAAGAAGCCAGAAAGCTCACCTTGGGAAGAATCCTCACTTTTTGTGTTCCACATATGGCTGTTACAGTGCTGGAACAAAAAAGGGGGTATTGGCTGTCCCCTAGCAGAATGATGAAATATCAGGTAATCCTTACAGAGCAAGATGACGTGATTCTGAAAACAACTAATCTTGTAAACCCTGCAGTTTTTCCGAGTGCTTCACAGGAGGAAGAACAACCTGAACATGATTGTATAATGACTATTGAACATATATACTCTCGTTGAGAAGATTTGAAGAATGTCCCTCTCAAAGGTCCTGAATGGGAGCTGTTTACAGATGGCAGCAGCTTTGTACAGAATGGAACTCGCTACGCAGGATATGCGGTAACAACTGAAAGTACTGTGGTAGAGGCAGATGCACT